CAATGGCTCGTTTCGAGGGTGAAGTTGAATGAATTCTGTCAGAATGACAATCAATGATACAGCGTTGCGCAATGAAACATTATCTCTCAAGTAAAAAAAAAAAAAAAACGTTCAATGGCATTTTTCAAACGACTTGGAGAATTCACAAATTTCATAAAGAAGAGAAGAGGAAGATTGATTTGAAATTAAAATAAGTTGAAATGTATTTTCTTAGATATAATTATAATTCTTGGATAATTAATTCTTCGTTGAAGATTGTACATCACGACCTCCACATTCTCGTATACAGAGTTAAACGTACATCATTCGCGACGCGGGAGAGATTTCACATATCTCGTATTTGCGATCGTGAGTCATGAATCTGCAGACTAGATAAGGGAATGATAGATATGGCTTGTTCCTCATAGATTTTATGATGGAAAGAACGCAGAACTGACAATAAGGTATTTATAAATATTTTTTTTAGTAAGACCGTGACAATATATAAAAATACACGAAAAGGATGTGAAATAACGCAAAATCTAAGAGAGAATGTAGTGATATCAATTAACTTTGTACTCAAACAAATCATATTGTTCTTTTTAAATATTTCGGAACACCTATTAATAATAAGGCCGTAGTGATAAAACAATAATAACTATAAAAATAATAATTATAATTTTTAATGACTCTGTGATTAAATCGATAACGGAAATACAATGATCAAATAATCATTGATCTTTTACTACTTTTATAAAGATTATTGATTTTATCGTTAAAACATATTATACTGTCATACTCACTCTAACATTTACTAGTATAATTATCACGATTTATTTTGCAAATATTTAAAAATGTACAATATACCGTTTCCTTGATTAAAACAACGTGTGAACGATAAAAGATCTTCGATATAATCGCATTAATTAAACCGAGCTTGCTTGGTTTTATCCAGCTATGTCAGATTTTGATGTATAGTGACTTCAGCAATTATTAAGTCTGCTGCTACCTCTTTCATTTTCCCTTTTCCTAAGTATACCCTGCGATAAATGCAATTGATCACTCATATGGTATTTATCCACGCCTTGCGATATCTCCTTACAATGTAAGTGAAACTTGAAAAAATTATGACAATCTATTATCTCGATAACTGGAATATTATTTGAAAAGTTTACACTCGGCTTTTATCATACATAATTATCAAAGGTATTTTCTATTATTATAAAATAAATTATTCATTTATTTATTAGATTGAATCTCTCTCTCTCTCTCGATTTAAATTTTCGCCGGCAGTTTTGTTGTTGCCGAGAAGGCGAACAATTTTTTGTAAAAATAGAGATTTCTTCGCCGTTTTCGTTTCTACACGGCGCTCGTAGTGGACGGCCATTTTACAGATATCATCTTCGATATCATCACGCAAGACATTATGAAGATTTACAGTTATTCGAGTAAGCGAAGCGACGCAGCGTTGTATTATACCCAAGATTCTTGACTACGGAACCCCCGCGGTGTCATACGCTATCAAGATATCATCGAAGCAGAGCGCCAAGGCGTGCACTACTGATATTCTCGTATCTATGCATCTTTCTATGTCAATTTCTATAATCTAGCGTGTAAGACAGCATTAACAGATACCTATAACCACTACAGATTATTCGAGGGATTTATGTCAAGTCAACCCATTCCTATATGTGGGAGTAAAAGTAATAATAAAATCAAAATTTGCATTATGATTACGGGTATACTTTACTTTTTTATCATTTTGAATTCTTCAAGATTTTAATTATAGACTACTTTTTTAAAAATAATTTATCGCTTTAAAACTACACGATACACCCTTCCCTTGTATGCTGATATTATCTAGAAAGGCCCTCATTCTGACTTCTGCGGCTAACCACACAGAAGTTGCTTCTAAAAAATGCAACCGCGACTAGATGAATCAGCGGATCGTGACTCATACTATCAAAAAATGTCGGCGTCGAGAAATTGAGACGTGCAAGGTAAAATCGACTAGGGAATAAAACCAGATTGGAGTATTAGTATGCTTGCAAATATTGCGCTACATTTTAGATTATATATCATTTGCGAGCGTAAACGCGAAGGAGTTCAATATTTCTTACTCGAAAATTAGTCTTGAGGGAGTGTCTTAACTGAAACTAATAATGCTTAATAGGCTCTTTGCTACTATAAATTGATATACAATTTTCCACGGGAAAAGGGATAGAATATGCGAGCTCTATACACATGTATCGACGAAGGTATTTTAACGACGGCTTATTGATAGCTTATTACACAAAATATTACACACGTCACACACACACACAGCCTGATTATTTTCCCTCAGTTTTCCCCTATTTTCAAGGAATTTACATTCACATTTTTCTATAGTTCTTTAAAACGCCTGAACTGTTTGGAATAAATTGAGTAATATCAAATAATCCAAAAAACGTTTCGATACTTGATCATATAAAAGCAACACATTAATTATCTTTCGATACGGTGAAGACAATCTGCTTTGGAATATTAAATGTCTAATGTTATCATGATTTTTTACAGTATATAAACTTTTCTTAATTAAATGGTGTATCTGTTATAAATACACACACACACATCGTTTTAGAAACAATTTCATTGGATTATAAAAACAATGTTTGAAAATTTGTAAAAATTGAGATAAACGGTACATAATTGACAGCGACTTTAACGGTCGATGGCGAACGGTGCTGAGGAACCCTGTTGCAAATAGCACACCATTAGCCTCCGTATGAGACGGACGTAATGTTATACATTATGCTCTAATGACTACGTGTGGATTGCTGCTGCGCATAAGTACGCGAGTCCGTTGTTCTCTTTTCTCCCGATCATCATATTAAAGACACAGGTGTACTCTTCAATAATAGTTTTCAACGCTCAACATAATCTAATTAATATAATAATACGAAGGACAATTTTTTTGTAAAAGTCCATCAAAATATTTTCGAGCAGATACTTGGAAAGATTTTTTAGTGTAAATAAAATTCAAAATAATGTGTACAAAATATAATTATCGATTTTGTTTAATCTTGTTTTTATTTTTATCACTCTGAAATGTAAATCCCTGTAAATAATGTCTCTTCTTATTTCAACGTTATCTCAACTAATTTCATAATTTGTATAAAAAAAATTCTTTCATATATTCTTTTACAATTATTTGAGAAATTTTCACCAAATTTCATGAAAGCTGAAAGCTACTTTTTTCGAAATTGTGTATAAATATAATAATACTAATTAGACTGTTTAAAAATAATATGAAAGTTGGAATATAAGTATAAAAAACATAAAACAGTTATCAATTTAGAATCGTCAATTTTTCTTCATCAAAAGACAAGTGCTGTAACAATTCATCAGACATAATCGTGATAAAGTGCATCTTAACTAAGTAACGAGCAATGAAGACAAATGAGTAACCGCTATCACCTGTCCGTCCATGACATGCCTTCGGGGCATCGTCATGGTGCAACTCGTGTTTAATTAAGGTTAACGAGTAACGTACCTAGCACGTAATTAAGGAGAACGTAACCGGCGTAACCGCTTACGTTTAACTTTACCGCCTTCTTGCAATCGGATAACGTCAGATTTTTCTGCAAATCGTATCTCTAATTAATTTCTCTAGCATCTTTAGTTAATCCAATACACACAACGACACAACGTAACTGGAATCAAACGCACGAAGAACGAACCCCTTCTCACTATCTCATACTTATTATGAGAAATGACGTGGAGCGTTCTCCTCTTTCTTTTTTTTTTCCATCTCGGCAAGCCCCTTGCTCGATTGCATCTTCCCGTCAACGAGAAATCATGAATGCGCATGCCAAATCTTTGAAGGGAACGATGACGGGATCCCTCGCGTCAACGTCTTCCTCGTTTATGCCTCGCGAAAGCGACGTGACGAGGAACGAAGTCCCTCCGGGCGATTTCGGACCGGCTCGTTTTCACGGCGGCACGCCATCGCCCCTTCTTCTTCTCATGTTCGTCGTCAGGACATCCTACAGATTGTCCCACCACGTGGCCACGAGGAGAGATTCGGCGGCCACTGCGAGATCCAGCGCGATGCATTCCAATGCAAATATCTCTCGCCCTGGGGACACGGCGTAATCGTCGCAATTTCATGCTTCCCAGAAATTCAACCTGCTCGCCTTACATCTCCTCTCTTCTACGATCCTTTCTGAAGCCTGATACTCTCTTAGCTCATCCCACCCCGACCCAGTACTTGATAACTCACCCTCGAGTACTTTGGAGCGCCTTAATATTTCATTGCTGATCGGGAAGGAATAACAGAATCGTAAGTGGCTCGTAATGAAGGGTATATTTATAGCTCTTTCGGAATGATGGATGAACCGCACGATTTTATAAATCATCTTCAAAGTGATGTATCGGTCTCTAGTCTTTCTATTATTCTTTCTTTTCTTAAAAAAAAAGAGAATTAAAAACACAGATAATCACTTTTCTTAAAGAATACTTAAGAAAAACGCTGTAGGATATAAATTAAGCAATGAACCAGCAGGAGGCTAAGGATATCAAGTTTCAGCTTGTCATCGGATCGGTTTTAGCACCTGTTAACCGCTCTGTTTATATAGTTTACTCGTCAAGATGTCAAAGTTAAGACGGTAAAGATAAATCGTCGTGAAATTTTTAATTACTTTTTTAGATGATTAGTCATTTGCTTCTTAAGAATTTTTTGATATAAGTTATTCTATCTCGTTTCTGATTTTATCATACGAATATGAAATACTTGACTATATTTAAGAGAACAAAAACAAGATATGTTTATTCAGTTACGAGGAAAAAGAGCATAAAGCTAGATAATTATATCTTATGGCAACTATTAAAAATCCTTCCTCTTAAAAATGCAGATTAAGATTCTCGTGTTAAAATAGTTTCTACACGTACATCAAAATATTCATTGCTCATTTATCTTCTCACTTATATGTATTTCTCACGACGGATCTCTTTATTTCAGGGTGGTCGGAGCGGTGGTGGTCGGCGCGGCTGTCTGCAGCCGCATCCCTGGATTGGCGAAAAGTCAACGCGAGCAGTGCAGAAAAGCGCCGCACACGATGCCGGCGGTGGGCGAAGGCGCCGCATTGGGTCTGCGCGAGTGCCGGCACCAGTTCCGACATCACCGTTGGAACTGTTCCCACGTATCCAACGATCAGGTCTTCGGCCACGTGGTGGTAGTGGGTAAGGATTGTTCTGTCACCAGCACTCGGTATTTATTACGCCGCGTAATATATCGTGGATGCTACATACGTATAAGATATTATACTTGTACTCTTCGCTCCGCGAAAGGCTCTCCTGCCTGTGTTAAAGTAGTAGGTAGCAGGATGAAATTGCGCAGTTAACGTTTCAAGTATCTGCAATAGAAACGCTGTGTAATTGAAAACGTAAAAAAAAGAAAAGTTTGGATATATGAGAATCCATCACTTGAACGCGCACATAAAGTAGTATAGCTTACTGCCTGTTATGTATCAGTAAGTCGCGTGCGTGTTGGAACATCCTCAGTACATATATTACGAGTTAAAGAAGACACATGGCTGTTACATCATTCCCGCATTCTATTAGACTCGCACTTGTACCGCACTAATGATCTTTTCATTAATATCCTCGTGCTTTGTCATCAATCTATTCATTTACATTCTAAACGGTTTTCTCTCATTATAGAAGGTTCAGTGATTAAAAATACACACACACACACACACACACACACACACACACAATTTCAGAATTAAATTAATAAATTCTCCATATATTTTACCATGAAAATCACTACTCTCGTGTAATTATTGAATAATTGATCAGCGATTGTATATTTAATTCTTTCAGTCATTCCACTTAAATAAATCAAAATGGGCATTATTCATGCATAAATATTTTTAGAGCTCATAATTTTATCAAAAAGAAAAAGTGGTTTATAATCAAAAATTTTAGAAGAAAAAGAGCATAAAACCACGGCACAAGTTGTTTTCTAATTTAGAAACTTGAATATATTAAATATCACAGAAAACAACTTATGCCATGGTTTTATGCTCTTTTTCTTCCAAAATTTCTCATAATTTTATTTTAAAAAACCAATAAAAAAATAATGTACATTAAAATATACATTAATATACATTCTTATATATCATTTTTTTTCTTATTGGTTTTTTTTAATAAAACCAATAAGAATGTATTAGTATTCCAAAGATGGTAATATTAAGCCAATATATTCAAAACCTCATCCAAACTTTGATAAAAATATTAAACTCCTTCAGTTTTCTCTTGAAGCTCAAAATCGAAAATTCTTAAATTAAGTTCTATTCGGATCTCTTTAACGCTAATTCGAAAGGACATTTTACGGCAGTGCTGGGTCAGAATTTTTATAGCGCTTAGAATTTTACGGATGAGAGACGTGGTAGCGCATTTTTATCGCTATGGAAATCAGAGGAACGGCAAGTGGTAGTGGACTACCATACATACGCATCACATTCCGGTATAAAATAGGGTCTGGTTTCTCGTGTTACCGTTTCGTCGTGACTGCAACTTGCACTTCAAGTACATAACTTACGTTCGAAGACCAGGATTATCCTGTGTCCTTGTCGATTAAAAAAAACTAGTATTTAGAAATATAATATATATATACATGTTCTTTCAAATCAATTTTCTAGATAATTCTAAACTTCAGTATTCTAAAATAAGATTAAACTTGTACAATCTCGTCGTTATTTTATCTGTAGTTAAAAGAGAAAAAGTTATCTCTCGCAAAGTGCAATTATTTAAAAATGTGCTCGATAAAGCAGATATCTTTAATCGCTTCTGAATTTTTTATGGTAAAGAAACAACCTAATATCAACAAGCTACGCGTCGCATCGTAGTGGCGGATCGGTTCGATGACAAATGGCGAAAGCGATATTTTTCGAGAACAAGATAATCCCCGAGTGGAAGCTGATATGTGATCCAAAAATATTGTTAAATGCGACACATTTGTCATCTCGGCATTAAATATTACAAATGTGAGTCGAGGGGATAAATGTCCCACATCGAAGGAATATTACTCGGTTGTATATGTATAGCGTGTTACATCTCGAGATGTCAGACTTCGTGAACCTTTTAGATTTTAAAGAGAAAAGAGGAAAACAACTGAGGAAAAAATTTCCATTAAAAGAAAAATTAATTACAATCGTAATAATTTCTCTGAGAGACCAAGATATTTTTTATCTTATTTTTTTCCATTTCTAATAAAAAAGCTTTTAATTTGAAACGTCCTGTATGCAAAGAAGAGCAGATGTAACAGCGCGGCGCTTCGTAATGGTGCAAGTCAGCAATTTTTCATGATTAACCGAACGGATTAAACCACCGAGGTAGAAGAATCAGAGAAGCTTGGTAAACACAATGTGATTTACGACGCGCAACGAGATAATCGTACTTTGTTACCTGTACTCTTGCCATTGTACAAGCCTCGTCTGTCATCATCGAGAGGCTCGTGGGTGACTTCTGGAATTCCACGCTGAATAAAGTGCGTATATAAATACATTGTAAAATCCTGCTAAAGAGATTGGAGAGAATATTATGATTACGTGAGATATTTGCGTACGTCACAATTATGTATGCAACAACTAATTATGAGTTTAGCATTTTAATTAATGACGATCGCTACCTTTTTATTAAAGTTTACACAAGATGGAGTGCGTTTTGCAGACGTGACATCGCGAAAATACGTGTAAATATTTATTAAAATCTTGACTGTTGTCACATCTGCAAGTTGAAAATGTCGTAGAATTTAAAATCGAAGAAAACCCGTACGGTATGTTTTTTAAAAGAGCGAAAACGTTTACGTACGCTCGGCGACACGGACGCAAAGCAGAGAAGGAAAATAAGCGGCGACGCGAGGAAGTCGGACGAGAAATAAGAAGACCAGAAATTAATGCGCAAAAAAGTATAAATAACGCTTATAAGAGACAGTGGGAGAGAGGATACAAGATGGAACAGGCAGGGCGGTCGGTTGCTAATTTAATTAGTGAAATTAACGGGGCCGCTCGACATGCCGAAGCTAAATGCAGCGATATATATGCTTTAAAATATTTTCCTGCTCTTAAAACACTTGCATTATGTATTCTATGTAATTTGCGAGCATATGTGTAGAAATAGAGAAGTCTCAAATTAAACAAAGTTCGATTGATACATTTAAAACCGTATCAAACAAGATTGTCAAACAACATAGAGATAATCGTCGAGTTGTGTTTAAGATCTATGTTGCTAATTAAAAAAAAGCTATTAATGAACAGAATATAAATTGCTGGTAGCATATTATATATAAAGCATTCATTCAGATCTTTGAAGATAATTCTTATTTATCGATATCGTGAAAAAAAATTAAATACAGATGCCTCTAGGAGTTTATTTCTGGATGTCAAAATATTTTCAAGATAAACATAAATTCATGTCATTTTTTTCTCCACCCGTGATTCAATTACAATCGCGTGTCGTGCGTGTCAAATGTTAACGATATAACAGATACGATTGTAATTCAATATAATTAGGTGCATCGATCGATGTCGATCTGAAAACTCGTTACAGAAGCTGCGACGCTGCTCAAAGCCGAGACGTCGTGGCCCACTCGAATGAATTCTCGTGGTGAATACATTTTCATAAATTAGGCAGATTTATCTGGGAGACTTTTCGAGATCCGAGAAAACGTGGGCAGCGATCGTCTAATCGTCTAAATGAAACGACGTAATTAAGAGATCCATTACGTGGACGATGGACCATATATTATCCGTTGTAAATTCAAGCGAGAACAGGACGTCGTTCTTGACGTCCTAACCCACCGATGTCATCACGAGAAATTACAGAGGGATTTCCCCTTCTCCCTCCTCTCCTTTATCCTCTCTTTCTTTTTCTTTCTCTCGTTTATTCTTCCAATAATTAAAAGCACTCAGCTGCTTATAGCAAACGAATTCTTCCAAAAATCGTTATCTCGTCAAGCTGTCGTTCTTATCAGCGAGTAATTCCATGCGAATACCTGCGACTCGCCAAAGGGCTAATATTATTTCGCGCATGACAACGTTATTCGGACAGCGTAGCAAACGAGCGATAAGCGAAAGCGGGAGGAATAGCCGAGTGACAAAGAGAGCGCGAATAAGGAGCTGATGTTCGTACGAGACACCAAATGTATCCTTTTCTGCTCTCCCTCACCCCCACCCTATCAACCCTTGGATAACACCGGCGAAGATACTGCATTAATGTAGCGTCCTATCAATTTCTGTTGCAAACCTCCTCCTCCTCCTCTTCATCCTTCCGTACACTTATATCCGCTCTCGCGCTTGTACGCGTTTTTTTCATTTTTTTCAACTTCTTATCCGTCTCAAATAACTGGACTGGCCCACACTCGGCGCTCTGGCATGGACACACCTACCTACCTGCGTCTACCTGCCTTTACCTGTCTTTACCTGCCTGCTCGCTTGCCCGCTTGCCTACCTTCTTACCTGCCTGCCTGCCTGCCTGCCTGCCCGCTTGTCTGCCTGCCTGCCGGCTTGCGGTTCCTCCCCTGGTGCACAGTTGATGCATTCATTCTCCTGTTCCGCGTCCATGTATACTCATATTGAGCTATATCGCGTCGATGACCGTGCGAAATAGCGCACATGCCGGGTTCGACACACATATATACGCACGCATATACAAAGTAACGATGGTACAAGCAATAGAAAGACGATTTCTTCGTGCGAAAAGATGTTCAGACGGTAGAACCTTTTTATTTTGTTTTGAAAAATGTTAGTTTTAAAAATTGAAAATCAATATTTATTGAGGATATTTATTTGACTATCTTTACTGTTCTATAAATAATAAGAAAAAAGGCTCTATAGTTTTATAATTTCGAGGGGCACGCGCGGATATATATATTTATTTTATATATCGTATTTTATGTATCGATTAACCAGCTTTCACAAACTAATTATACATATAATAATTATATCGCGCGGCAACGCGAATCGATTTATCTCTGTCAACGTTATCTTACCGCTAATTTGCTCGATAGATTGTTTGAGAATTTGCCGGCTTGCAGAAACATCCATGGGACGTTTACGTCCATGAGAAGTAAACCCGGCATGTACCTACATATCTACTGTCCAGTGAAATAATTAGATTAGATAATGCGTACGAGAGTGTCTACAGAGGAAACCACTGAAAGAAGAGTCATTTTCAAG